CGCTCCCTAATTCCAAGAGATTCTATCTCCAGGTGAGTTAAACAATAGGCCAATGTCATGCGAGAAGGAACAGTCAACAAAACAAAGAACAAACCTGTCTCTATATATCCTCTCTGACAATCTCAGGACATCCCAGAGAACTTTATCGTATTGAAGTTCTTTTTGAAATAAGACATATGAAATGGGAGCTGGAAGAGACCATTCAATTCCTCAAGTCTGCTTTGCCATTCAATACAATCAACATTTTTTATCTCAATAATACCCAAGCGATATGAGTGAAAGGCAGGGATATGGAGTTAGGCCACAGATCAGCCATGATCTCACTGAATGGTGGAACCTGCTCCAGGGACTGAATAGCGCCCTCCTGTTCCTATGTTCCCTTTCCTCACATCCCTTCATTCCCTTAATCTTTGACTTGCATATATTCAATGCCTGAACTTTCAGAGCTCTCTGGGCTAGAAAATTACATATTCATAATCTTTGCAGTCATAAAATTTGTCATCTTAGTACAGTAAGTCCTATAAAACATTAAAAAACAGAGGAGGAAACTTAGTTACTGTTGTAAGGCAGACATAAGGTAGTCAAATTGCACACAGTAAGATCCCACAACAGCAACGAGATAAATGGCCAGACCACCTGCTTTGGTAAAGATGATTCACTGGGTTATAGAGTCATGCAGCACAAAAGAGGCCCTTCAGCCCATCGGGTCTGCATCGATCTATCTGTACTAATCGCACTTTTCAGCACTTGGCTCATCGTCACAAATGTGATGACATTTCAAATGCTCAGCCACTTACTTTTTAAAGGTTGAGGTTTCCTGCCTTTCTTACCCTCCTAGGCAGTCCATTCTAGATTCCCTCCACCTTCTGGTGAAAAATGTTTTCCTCAAATCCCCTCTAAACCTCCTGCCTTTCAAGTTAAAAATTGTGCCCTTTGTTATTGAACTTTCAACTTAGGGGCACAGCTGCTTCCTATCCATCCAGTCCATGCTCCTCAATCTTATACACCTCTGTCAGGATCTTCCCTCGGTCTTCTATGCTCCAAAGAAAACATCCTGAGCCTATCTGGCCTCTCTTCAGAGGGGTGGGAGGCGATGGGTTTAAGCCCCCATTCCAGAAATCAGAGCACATAGTCTAGGGTGACACATTCCAGTGCCATACTGAGGGAATGATGCATTGTTGGGGGAGCTGCCTTTCACATGAGATGTCAAACCAATGCCCTGTTTACTCTGGTCCTATGACCATTATTTTCTAAGATCATGAGAAATAAGTGAGGTAGGCCATTCAGTTACCTTATCCATGCTAATATGCTATCCCTAACACTGTAAGTTCTTATCTTGAAAAGTAACCTTTTATGTGACACCTTAGTGAATACCTTTCAGAGATCCTAAATGCACTACAGTGACTGGTTCCGCTTTACCTACCAGCTCTCTTTGGCAAAATCATGTTCATTCTGCTTGACTGCAAGCTTTTATAAAGGTTCTGCTACTAACTCCTTAACAATGGATTCATGAATTTCTCTATGATTGAGGTTAGGCTAAATGGCTCATGGTTTTCTGCTTTCTGCCTTTGTCCTTTCTTGAAGAGAGGTGTTACCTATCTGGTTTTATAATCCATCAGGACCTTCCCAGTATCTGGAGAATTCTGGGATATCACAACCAATGAATCCACTATCTCTGCAGCTACTTTTTCTAATGACCCTCGGATTAAGGCCACCAGATCCAGGGGACATGTCAGCCTTTAGTCTCAGTAATTTATCCAGCACTTATACCTCTGATTCCAGAAGAAATATAGGGAAGCTCTCTCCATTATCCTGAGCCAATATTTATCTTTCTTTCAGTCAACATTGTTAAGATTATCTGGCAATTATCATATTGTTGTGTACGCAAATGAGCTCCTGCATTTTGTTTATTACAACAGGGACCACACTTCAGAGAATCATAGAATCCCTCCAGTGTGGAAGCAGGCCATTCAGTCCATCGAGTCCACACTGATCCTCCAAAGAGCTTCCCACTCAAAAGCCAACCTATCCCTGTAACCCTGCATTTCCCAAAGCTAATACCTAGCCTGCACATCCCTGAACACTATAGGCAATTTAGCATTGCCAATCCACCTAACCTGCACACCTTTGGACTCTTCAGACAGCATTTTGGGACACTGAAGCTGTGAATGGTACTATATAAATGCAAGTTTGATCTTAACGACTGCACGGGGTCCACTGGTTTCATTGCTTTCAGAGTTTCTCAGTATCACACATCTAACACAAAACATTTTTTTGGCCAAACACGTAGCCAGCACTGGCAAGGTGCCAGGAAACCACATCGTTCATTTTCTTGCATTCTCCCCCTGCACCAGATTGTAAACGCCTGCTCTTTTTAAATGCTCGAAATTAGCTTCAAAAGGAGAACAGCTGTTTGATATAAAGCCTTTATTGACAGTAACAACCCCTCACACTGCGAGACTCAGCAATGATCCAACTAAACTATTCCAAGAATTAGTGATAGGGGCTGAACAAACTATTTTGTCTGGCATGACAATGCAACACATTTAAAAGTTAGTAATTTGAAATAATTAGGTAGGTTCGTTTCCCTCTTAGATCTTTGGGTAGTAGTTATTTGTGTTGAGTTTTAGGGAAGGTGGCTGAAGCAAGCTACCATAATGTGCAATACGACTACGGTATGTGCTGAGCTGCAGAAAGGTATGATGAGATCAATTTAAAAATCTCAGGTCTATCAATCCTTTTCACTCAAATTAGCAGCATCTCCTGAGAAGAACCAACAGCCCTACAAGGGAAACAGGAAAAAAGTCACATAGCTAGAATATGCCTATCCCTGTCCTGGGAGTGTTTGGTGGAGACAACAAAGAGGAATCTCTGTATCTAACCTCATGCTGTACCTGTTTGATGGGGACAGTGTAGACAGAGCTTTACTCTGTATATAACCTCATACTGTATCTGTTCTGGGAGTGTTTAATGACTCGAGCGAGTTTTATTCTAAATCAAACACTGAACTTCCTTTATGGCTGTCTCCTGACAGCCCTGAAACGTTCACATTGTGAATGTGAAACACTCTGCACATATACACATTATTAAACGCCCTGCCAGTAAGCCCTGGCAGTGCCCAAATAATAGGGCACATAATGATGTAGCAGTAATGTCACTGTACTTGCAATCCAGAAGCCCAAGCCAATGCTGTGGAGACATGGGGCTTGAATCCCAACATGGTAGATGGTGAAAGTTAAATTCAATTTAAAAAAAAACTGGCATAAATAGCTGGCCTAATGGTGACCACATAACCATTGTTGATTGTCAGAAAAACCTAACTGGTTCACTAATGTCCTTTAAGGAAGGAAACTGCCATCCTTACCCAGTCTAGGATATATGGGACTCCAGACCCACAGCAATGTGACTGGCTCTTAACTGCCCCCTGAGCAATTAGAGATGGGCAATAATGCTGGCCTGATCAACAATGACAACATCCTGTGAATGAATATAGAAAAAATACAATAAGTAAGAACAATGGGACAGAACGACATCACTGGCAGGCAGGACTGCACATGCATGTTTTGCACATGTGCACTGAGTGTGTTTTTGGGATGCCAGCTGACAGTCTCTACTTTTACGCACCTAAAGAAAAATCAAAAACACTTTGATTCTCATACAAATTAAATCTGCGATAGATACAGCCGTGAACATTCACTCTTCCTGCTCTTGCGTCAGCTGACTCACAGACACAAATGTTTACAACACAAAAGGAAAACATTTGGTCCTTGTGTCCACACCACTCAAAGTTCTGACTACACTAATTCCATTTTTCAGCCTTTGGCAAGTGAATATCTGAATAATGTTTTGGGCAGTATGAGAGGCTCTTTCAGGCAGTGAGTTCCATACTCCCTCTAGGTGAAAGAAAATCTCAACTCTCCGCTTAGCCTTCTAACTCACTCCTTAAATCCATGGTCCTGGTTACTGAACCCCCTACTAATGGAAAAAAGTGCCTTCTTGTCCATCCTATCCATACTCCTCAATCTTATAAAGCTTCATCTGATCCCCTTTTAGCCTAACCACCCATCCTAACAAATTCTCACAGATCAGACACTCCAATCCAAGAAATGTTCTGGCAAACCTCCTCTACACCCTCTCGACTGCAATCACATCCTTCCTAGGTGACTAGAACTGCACGCAGTACTCAAGTTGCGGCCTAACCAGCACAGTTTCAGCATCACCTCCCCGCTCCTGTATTCTGTTTTGGCTAATAAAGAAAAGTATCCTTTATGCCTTCTTAACATCTTCAACGATCTGTGGATACTCACTAAGGTCCACCTAATCTTCAGTACTTTCCAAGGCCCTACCATTTATACTGTAATCCTTTGCCCTGTTAACTGTCTTAAGTGCTATACCTCACATATTCTGGGTTGAATTTCATTTGCCACTGCTCTGTGCACCCAAGCAATCTGTTGATATCTTCCTCCAGTTTATCCTCCACTCTATTTAATACCCACCAGCTTTCAGGTCATCCACGAACTTCTTGATCATACACCCTCTGTTTAAATCCAAATTAGTAATGTATATCACAAACACCATGGGCCCCAGCACTGGGCCTTGTGGAACTCCAGTGGAAACAGACTTCCAGTCACAGAAACATGTCTCCACCATCACACTCTGCATCCTTCCTCTCAGCCAATTTTGAATTAAACATGCCACTTTGACTTGGACCCAGGGGATCTTACTTCCTTGTGCAGCCTGCCATGAGACATCTTCTCAAAAGCCTTGCTAAAAGTCCATGTAGACCACATCAAATGCATTACCCTCATCACTCCTGGATGCCTCCTCAAAGTATTCAATCAAGTTTGTCAAACAGGACCTTCTCTTAACAAATCCTTGCTGATGATCACTGATTAATCTATATCTCTCCAAGTGCAGATATAATTCTCAGAATCCTCTCTGTAATTTTCAGGTCTATCCCTTTGTCCTTTTCACAATGTAACAATATGGAAGAAGGATACGGGTTGCTAAACATCCTCTTTAGATCCACCTTCTCTTTACAATATGGACAGGTCTGTTTCTTCCCGACGATGCACCAACCTCGAATGCAGAATTCGTGGAATCTGGTGAACAGTGGTTAAGGAAAGGAGAACGTGACTCAGCCTGCCAGGAGCATGAACCTGTAACAGGGCAGAAGATTAACAGCAACATCAATCCAGTGGAATCAACAATATAAAATTCTTCACTCTTGCTTTCAAATTCCTCTCTGGCCTCACCCCTCTCCATCTCGGTCATATACCCCAACCCCACAACCCACTGAGTACTCTGCACTCTCCCAAATTTGGCTTCCTGAATATCCTGAATTTTAATCACGCCACTGGCTACTGTGCTTTCAGAATGACAGGGATAGGGGTGTGGAGGGAGCAACAGCAAGGTGGGGTTGGGAAGAAACAGAACATGACAGGGGCGGGGATTGGGGGAACAAGCGAGAGAAAGAGAGAGAGAGAGAACGACAGGGGCAGGGAGAAGAGACAGAATGACGGGGGTAAAGAGGAACAGAGAGAGAAGATTGGAGTTGGAGGGTAGTGGTGAAGAGTGGGCGGGGGGGGAAGAAAGAGAGAGAGAGCGACAGGGAGAATGAATGGCGTTAAGGGGAAGAGAGAAAGATAGACAATGAAGGGTGGGTGAAGGGTGGGAAAAGAGAGCCAAACAGACAAATAGAGAAAACAAATGACAAAGAAGGGGTGAGAGAGAGAGAAAGAACATGACAAAGATGGTGAGAAAACGACAGATGGGGAGACTGATGGGGGAGGGGAGAAGAATGATGGGGGATAGGAAAATGATGGGGGGATGGAATGGAGAATGACAGGGAGTAAACGAAAAGTACGTGAGTAGATGGTAGACAAATCAGATGAGCACTTTATGACAGGCTTTAAAGAATATACAATAAAGGTCAGGGGAAAAAAAATCAGAATGATATTTTAAAGAGAACAGGGAATGGAGAGGATGGAAAATGTACATTTTTGAACAGACTAGAGGGAAAGGGTGTTTCAGCAAGATGAGAAAATCATCCTGCTTGGTTTCAAAGCCTCGACCAAATGTGACTGCCCAGTGGGCCAGGTGGCCTGGACACACTATTACTGGAAAAAAGATCAAATTATTCTGCTTTTTTGAACAACTGCAGGGACTTTATAGGGGAAAGATTGTTGGGGATTTTTGTGTGGCTTCCCAAATATTCTAATGGGAGAAAGACAAACTAAAAAATGACATTACATCTGTAAATATAAGAAACCTCAGGCTTCACAGTGGGGGTATTGGGGTTTTCTAAAACAGAAGCACAGGCAGAGGCACAGAGGAGTATTTTTGGAAGATTTCTAGTGTGGAGGCCAAATACAGCTGCACAAATTTCCTTCTGGTGAGGAAGTTACACATTGCTCTTAAATTTTAGCATTGATGCAAAATTGACAAATGATCCACACATCACAGTCATGAGCAGCACAGGTTGAGTTCAGGATTGCTCACTGCACTCTGCCAAGGAGGCAAGACTTAGGCAGTTGGAGGATGTGCAGAGTGCAGGATAGGGGGATATAGATGCACGCCCACTGGGACACCAGTTCCTGACAGGAATATAGTTGACACACAAGGAGTGGGTGTTCTGGTCACAGGAACACAAGAAGGCCATTCAGCCCCTTAAATTGGCTCTGCCTTTCAATTCAATCATGGCTTAACTCTGCTCTGCCTACAGAAATTTTTAATCCATAGTATTGTGGGAGGTGGCACAGGAAGAGACTTCTACACCCCTTTGTGCAAACAATTGCCTCCTGACATAACCTTGAATGGTCTAGCTCATATTCAATTTCATAATCACCTCCTCCTCCCCTATTTAGCCTACCAATTGCTTTCATCATTTTAAACAGGGGATGAGAGAAAGGGTCACCCCAGGAATGAGGCCCGAGAGCAGGACGGAACGAGGGACAAACAAAGCCTGAGAGCGGGATGGAGCGGAGGAGGGACAGAGGCCCATGAGTGGGTGGTGGCCAGAAAGCAGCAAAAGGGGAGACTTGGTTTCTCTTCTTTCCAGAGACAGGCATCAACATATGGGCACTCGTGCTGGGATCTGAAGTCCCAAATTAGCAGTCCAGAGACCAAGTGCAGTAACATGTTCCCATCCCTCTGTGCACTAACCTTAAGTTGTATTGCTGCATTGCAAAGAACCATTGATAGTGTTGTCATGGTGACATTGAAAAATAAAATGTCAAAATTTATCATTTTGACAAGTGTCAGATTTGGTTCCTTGCTGTATCTCCTACACTTTGAAGGATACACATGGTTACAGGTCAGCATGTAGGTATTTTCTATGATGCCTTCCTCATTGATATCCACAAAGATTTTTTGTCCACAGACTGCACAGATTTCATTGGAGAGGTGTTTGGTTGGCATCCCTGATGCACTGTAGTACTGTAATACACAATAAACACTTCAAACAACGATAGCAATTTGGACAGTGCTTTCAGAAATAACTTATTCCTACATTATAACAGTGATAACAATTTAAGAAATCCACTGGCTGGAAAGTGGGACACCTCAAGGTCATGAAAGGTGTGATGTAAAAGTGACTTTTTCTTTTCACTTGGTAGAACATAACACAATATTGCTGAAAGAAAGAAACATGCAGTCAAAGCCTTTTATCTTGCAGTCAATCAGGACAGAATCACAAGTAGGTCAAACCTCATAGGGAACAACAATTTACATTGCATGAAAAACTACTGACTGGTTGACAATTGGACTCTGATTGGTCTGTCATGCCATAAGTTAGCCACTAGAACAGCGTTCCCGAAACATTTTTGTTCAACTGAAAAGGCAGAATGCCTGGACAAATTATTTTCCCTTGTAGTTGACTGAGCCCTGTATATGAATACACATAGCTGTTTTGCAAGCACAAGTGTGCCACATAGAGAACAAAGTAATAAGATTAAATTCAAAATCCATGTCACTATTGAAATCTTTTCTTTTTTTCTCCTCCTCAAATGTCCCAAGGACCTGCTTTTGGTGATACTGCCTGGCCTATGAAGAAATCTCCCTTACTTTGATGATCACATGGGTTCCATGCATAATGTTTACCTGAATTACAAGCAGCAGCACATGAACCTTCAGTGCAAGGGATTGAACCATGAACAAGACCTCAGCCCTCAACTGCTGATCTGATGTTGGAGGGAACATCATTGATGAAACAGCTGAAGATGGTTGGGTCTAGGATATTAGCCTGAAGAACTCCTGCAGAGATGTCCTGGAGATGAGATGAGATGAGATGACTGACCCCCAACAACCACGACCATATTCCTGGTGCCGGGTATGACTCCAACAAGTGGAAAGTTTGCCCCAATTCCCATTGATAAAAGTTTTGTTAGGGCTCCTTTATACCACACTCAGCCAAATGTGGCTTAGATGTCAAGGGCTGTCACTCTGATATCACCTCCAGAATTCAGCTTCTTTGTTCATGTTTCAACCAAAGTTGTAATGAGGTCAGGAGCTAAGTGGCTCTGGCAGAACCCAAACAGGGCATCCTTGAGCAGGTGCCACTTGACCAATTGGTCCCTGAATCAATCTTATATCTATGCTGCCACTTTGCACTTAATTCCATGGATTTCCACCTTTATAATGATCCTCCCACGTGTTCCATTGAACTTTGCAGAATGCCTTCCAAAGGTCTACGTGTATAAAATCTACTGCATGAATGCCAAGAGAACATCCCTGTGAATAGTGCTGTGCAGTTTTTTTTTTAAATATTCAACAAAACCCTGATCTAACAGCTGAAAAGATTCAGCATCTCTGACATTGTGGTGAAGTAACAATTTAGGTTATGGAGTTCAAGTCCGAAATCTCTGGCTGGGAGATGAATGTGAAGTCGCCGAGTCAAGGTGTAGGATCATGAATACTTAAACAAAGCAATAAACTGACAAAATGCCTTGACTGCGCCAATACTATTTTGGCCTGGCTTCCTGCATCACACTCTCCATAAACTGTGGCACATTCAATACTCTTGACAAGTGTATCATAATATCCCTGTACTGGCTAAGGTTACCATGAAGTCCAGCCTTCTCAACCTCACCCGAGACATGGTGATCCTCAGGTTAAACTCATACCATTCATCTCTCGCTAATGGGAGAGCAGCCTATCATCCTCTGGGACGATGGCGAATCTACTTTTAATGTTTGAGCTTCTAATGAGTTTTATCATTGCTGTGGTTTCCACATTTTTGAGAACAAATTGGGGGAATTTTGATCTGGTGTGTTCTCAATTTGTTTTCCAGGCACTTTCCTGCAAGTGAACATTTTACTGCATTGTCAGAATCACAACATTGTTACAGCACTAAAGGCGGTCAATCCGCCCATAATGTCTTTACTGGAACTTCAAATAAGTGCAATTATCCTCGTTTATCCCCTATGACCTCGTCCATTCTTCCTCCTCGGATTACACTCAAATTTCCTTTCTAATATATTAATTGAGTCTGCCTCCACCATGGCTTTGATCTACTACTTCTTCAACGTACAATCTTTGCCTTCCATCAAAGGCAAAAGTTTCATTAAAATGCAGCAAAACAATCTCTGCGTTAGGACAGTGGGGAGGATGAAAAAACAACTTCAGAAATTGATTTTAATTATGCTGCCAATTCTGCAAACCATCTGCATAAGAATCAAATGAAACCTGGGATTGAGTTGGGGTGGTAAGAGACATTGGGAATACATATTTATAATTTACAGGCTATTTGGGAATTGGTGGAAGGTTTTGGACTATTTGAAGTTGTACCATCTGATTTCTTGGAAACCGGAGTCCACATTTTAAGTCTGCTATATGCCACTTGCTGCTTTCATTGGAATTCAGGTGATGTCGGAAAAAACAAGAAAAGTTCAACGAGATAAGAAATGGGGTTTATTGCCCTAATTACAGAAAAGAACTGGCATTGAGGACTCGAGATCTACCCTAATTAAGCCTCTCAGGCTTAGACTTGTTTTTTGCAGGCCTAGCAGTCAAAGGGGTAAAAAAGGACATCTTAGAAACTGCAGTCAATTTCTAGAAATTTTGTTTCTTCAGGGATGTCTCTGGCAACTTGGAGGAGTTTCCAAATACCCACGTGTGTCGCTTCCTAGTAAGCCCCTAAGTAGGGAGCTATAGACAATTCTCAACAATTCAAATCCAAGTTGACTAGTGTCAGAACTGGACATTTATCAAATTACAGCAATCAGCAATTCAGCTTCATCAAAAGAAAATTCAGCAGAAATAAGATTTATATATTTTATCCTTTGCTTCCAGATCCATGGATCACAAATTTGCTTTTCTGTTTTGCCTCTATTTAAAAAGAAAATCATCTCTGCATCAACTTGCTTTGTTTTATTGCGTGTGTATCTGGATGTGGGATTAGGGGGATATAGTTTTAATTCCTAATCATAGATTAAGTGTTAACCAGAATTTGTCACTCGATCTAAGAATAAATTTTGTTCATAATAAACGGATCATTTTGAATTCATTAGCAAAGCCTGGTTATTTTTCTTCTATTCTTGATAGTAGTACAAATGAGTGGAATTGGCCATTTTGGTAACTGAATCAATAAACTGACACTAATCATATGAGTGTTGAAATAGTGGGGCATGACCATTAGGGCATTTCTCCCAGCACAGTTGTAATAGAGGATAACAATTCACCATCAGGATGTTCTGGCTAAATAGGCTGAGGTGTTCAGAGGAATACTCAAGTAGGAAAACAGAAATCAATTGTTTAAATATACAGAGATTAGAAGGAATGTGGTACAGATTTGATACTGGCAGTGGTCACTCAAAATTCAATATAATGCCCATCAGGCTAGATGAGCCTTTGATAACTGAGCAGCCAAATTTTGGATCAGCATGTTTTTGTGCAATGGGGCAAGCTGTTGTGTGCAGAAATAGAATTTGTAGCCCTTAGTTGACTTCCTTCTCCGTCCCCACTATTACACCTTTTAGTCAAGTCAGAGCCACAAAGTGGCTTGTGCCTTGTTGGATTAGTTGCCATGGCAACTAATCAACAGCTTTCTACCCCCTAGTCAATGGTCTCAATGTCTCCATGTTTTAGGGCAACATTTATACCTTTTCCTTCGAGTCACTGAGCAAGGAAACAAACCCTTCGGTCCAACTATCCACGATGACTATGTTCCCAAACCAAACGAGTCCCATCTGCCTGTGTTTTGCCCAAATCTCTCCAAACCTTTCCTATTCATGTACTTATCCAAATGTCTTTTAAATGTTGTACCTGTACCTGGCAGTTCATTCCACGACTCTGTGTAAAAAAGTTGCCTCATGTCCTTTTTAAAACTTTCATCTCTCACTGTAAAAATATGCCCCCTTGTTTTTAACTTTCCCACCTGAGGGAAAAGACCTTTGCTATTCACCTTATCTATGATCCTCATGACTTTATGAACCTCTATAAGGTCACTCCTCAACCTCCTAAGCTCCAGTGAAAAATGTCCCAGCCTATTTTATAACTCAAACCCTCCAGTCCCGGCAACATCCTAGAAAATCTTTTCTGAACCCTCTCTAGTTTAATAATACCCTTTCTACAACAGTGCGACCAGAGCTGCACACTGTACTCCAGAAGAGGCCTCAAAAATGTCCTGTACACCCTAAACATGACGCCCTAACTCCTATATTCAAAGGTCTGAGCAATGAAGGCAAGCATGCTAAACATCTTCTTATCCACCCTGTGATGCAAATTTCAAAGAATTATGTACTTGAACCCCTAGGTTTCTCTGTTCAACAACACTACCCAGGGCCCTACCATTAATTGTATAAGTCCTGCCCTTGTTTGTTTTACCAAAATGCAATGTATTGCATTTATTGAAATTAAACTCCATGTGCCACTTCTCAGACCATTGTTCCAATTAATCAAGATCTCTTTGTAATCTTAGGTAACCTTCTTCACTGCTAACTATACCACCAATTTTGGTGTCATCTGCGAACTTACTAACCATACCTCCTAAATTCTCATCCGTATCATTTATATAAATGACAAACAAAAGTGGACCTAGTGCCAATCCCTGTGTAACACAGCTAGTGATAGGCCTCCAGTCTGAGAAACAACCCTCCAACACCACCTTCTGCCTCCTACTAGAAAGCCAATTTTGTATCCAATTGGCAAGCTCACCCTGGATCCTAGGTGATCTAACTTTACTAATTAATCTACCATGCGGAAACTTATCAAAGGCTTTAATGCTAAAAGTGGAACTAATGGAGAGCAGGGAGAAGAGAAGAGGGGAAGAAGTTTCTGGGCATCTGGATGCCAATGGTGAAAGCTCTCAAGGATCTTAATATGATGTTGGTAGACAGTCCAGATTTCACTGCAGTGCAGGAAGTTCATCAACATAACAACCTTACAGACCAGGATCTTTACTGACTTCCACAAAGACATGTGGCTGCAGATTGACAAAGGCAGTGCTCATACTGTTGACTCTGTGCTGAACCTTTTCATTGACAGTAGCTCCTTAGGACAGGAAGTGTTGCACAAACTTCAGAGCCAGCCCACCAGCATAGATGATATAGGGTTTGCTCAACTGACCCAGGGAAGGCTAGTGGAAAATCTTCGTCCTGTCCTGTGCAGAGTGACCATCATGCAGCAGTCATCTGCAAACTCAAGGCCATGAATGCCCACAGTGGTGAGTTTTGCTTTTGCTCAGGAGCAACTAAAGTTGATACTGGATGCTGACACCAGGTGGTAAGTCATCTCTGATGAAGTGGATAAAGATGTTCAGGTAGATGATAGTTGGGGTGATCACACAATGTGGGCTGATCCTGGGCTGGATGTTAAAGGTCTCAGTTTTAGACCCTCCAAAGCACCAGATATATTGTTACACAATAGTGTCAGGATGGTGACAAACATCAATGGGTATCAAAGCAGTGAATGATGATCCATAGAGCTTCACAATTTGGAGAATCAAACACCCTGGTCAGATCAATGAAGGGGAGTAACAATTCTAGACTTCGCTCCTGACATTTTTTTGGATCTACCTAGCCACGGAAGACCAAGTGGATAGTGTCCCTGGATTGTTGGAAGCCACACCAGATTTCTGGGAGGAACCCCTCAGGTGACAGGACAAAAAGCGGCTCAGGAGCATGTGGACCAGGATCTGGGCTGCAGTGGACAGGAGGAAATTCCTTTTGCAGATACCAGATTCACCAGAATGATGAAAAGGTTGAAATGGTACAGAATGTGAAAATAGGGTACGTTACCTTGGCTAATTTTGTTTAGGAGATGAAAGGATAATTTAATTGGGCTGACTGAAGTTGTAAAGTGAGAAAAATTATTTCCTGTGGTTGGAGGGGGAAGGGGGAGAGCAAAAAGAGCCCATGGAAAGAGAAAGAGAGCGAAAATGAGAGAGGGGAGAAGAGACAGGGAGGGAGTAAGAAAAGGATAAGAAAGAGAGTTCTGAACAGGGGGGCAGCATATTAAAATTAGAGCTAGGCCATTCAAGGATGTCAGGAAGCACCTCTTCTGCCAAAAGGGAGTGGAAATGTGGAACCCTCTCCTCCAAAAAAAAAGGCTATGGAGGCTGGGCTTTAACTGGACTTTTCAAGGCTGAGATAGAAAGAGTTTTGTGGATAATGGTATCAAGGGTCAAAGGAAAAAGGTGAATGCAAGTGCTAGAGATCAGCCAAAACATTAACTGAATAGTCTGATGGAACCATTCCGTTCCTATGAGGCAATAAAATCTTCCCCATATCATCTAATCACTCAGTGGAAGGTAATTACAAAATCATTAACGCAGCTATACAGATGGAAAACAGCTGATAAAACAGGTTGCTGCCTCTGGGGTCACTTTACCCCGATTGTTGATGCCATGTAGTCTGCACACATTTCTGCAAAGTCACGACTCAACACTCCATAATACAACCCGTAAAATAACAGCGATACTCCAAAGTCCATTCCATCTTCTGGCTTTATTCTGGGGAAAAGACAAACAGAAATTCTATCAAATGCAATTCTGGAAACTCAAATGCTCTTTAGAGCAAAGTTCACTTAAGAAATTGCTGTGTGTAGCGTGTTTCACATTGTCAAACCACTTTACAGAGAATGAAATATTTTTGAATTGCTGTCCCATAAATTAGCACGTGCACATGCACGTTACACTCAGGAAAGTGGTCTTTGTCCGTACACATACAGGTTGGTACAGATATTGAAAAATAACTGTACGCATGTGTATTTATTTCACAGAGGTTTCTTTGAGACAGTCTCATGCATGTTAGTGAATCCTGGAAACTGCTTTCTCACAAACCACACATTAATGTCATCTTGATACGTCATGTTAGACAATCATCATGACTAGGATGAACAAAGGCAGTATAGGAATTCCTTGAGCATAATAAGACCACAGACCATTTAGTTCCTCATCTACTTTCCTGAAAGTGATGTGGAGGAGTGTTGGACTATTACAGCAATCATGATCTATGAGTCTGCAACAGACACGAGGCATGAAACACCCACCCCCACCATGGTGAGGATGCTTTAGGGAACCACAGGGGCAAAGTCACTTGCTCCTCCCAAACGAAAGAATATAGAGAAATAGGAGTAGGCCATTCTGCCCCTCAAGCCTGCCCCACTATTCAGATCACAGCTGATCTGCCTCAGGGCTCACCTCTGCTTTCGTGTTAGTTCAACATAGCCATCAATTTCCCCGATATTTCAAAAATCTATCTACCTGCTCTTTAAATACTTTCAGGAAGCCAGCCTCCACAATGTTTTGGATAGAGAATTCCAGATATTCACTACCGTCTGGGAAAACGAATGGCTTCACATCTCAGTTTTAAATGAGTTTTGCCTATACTTTGTCACTATGTCCCTTAGTTTGAGATGCCTCCATGAGTGGAAACATCATTTCAATATCTATCCTCAGACTCTTGTATGTTTCAATAAGATCACTCCTCATTCTTCTATTTTTAAAAAATTATTCATAGGATGGGGGAGTCATTAGCCAGGCTAGCATTTATTGCCCATCCCGAGTTGCAGCTCACCGTCACCTGCTCGGGCAACTTGGAATGGTCAATAAATGCTGGCCCAGCCAGTGGCCCCTACCTCCCTCCAACTTAATAAAAAGACCTAATTTGTTTAGCTGTTCTTGTTAAGTCAACCCCTTCATCCCAAGAACAGTGAAGTGAAATCCCTTTTGAACAATACATTCTTTTTAAATACAGGAACCAAAACTGTACACAGTACTCCAGGTGCACGGCCTCACCAACACCCTGTACAGTTATCACAAGACTTCCCTGTTTTTAAACTCCCTAACAATAATTACTTAATTACTTGTTGCACTTGCATGCTAACGTTTTATGTTTCATGCACAGGAACACCTAGATCTCTCCGTGCTGCCTTTTTTTTGGAGTCAGTCTCCATCTAAATAATAGTCTGCCTTTTGATTTTTGCCAAAATACATGATCTCACATTCCTACATTAAGCTCCATCTGCCAAGATTTTGCCCATTCACTCAATTTATCTATAGCCCATGCTAGTTCCTCATGTCCTGAAAACAACCCTCCCACCTATTTTTATGTCATCAGCAAATTTGGACACATTATACTTTGCCCCCCACTTCCAGGTCATTAGTATAGATAGTAAATAATTGAGGCCCAAGGATTGACCCTTGTGCCACTCCACCAGTTGTCTTTCCAACCAGAAAAGGACCCAACTCTCTGTTGCCTGTGTGTTAACCAATCCTCAATCCATGCCAATACATTACCTCTAATACCATAAGCTCTTATTTTGTGAAATAACCTTTCAGTGTTACCTTAACAAATGACTTCTTGAAATCTAAATACACTCCATCTATTAGTATCCATTCATCACTGCTGGTCATTATATCCTCAAAGAACTCCAGCAGATTTGTCAAACATGATTTCCCTTCACAATACCATGTTGATTCTGTTTGGTTGCATTAAGCTTTTCTAAATGTCCAGCTATTTCTTCCTTAATAATGGATTCCAGCATTTTCCCAATGACAGACGTTACACTAACTGCCCATGGTTTCCTGCTTTCTGTCGACCTCCCTTCTTGAACAGTTAAGCCACAGTAGAGACTTTCCAATCCACTAGTGTCTTCCTGGAATTCAGTGAATTCTGAAATATTTCAACCAATTCCTCCACTATCTCTGTAGTCATTTCCTTTAAAACCTTTGGATGAAGGCCTTCAGGTCCGGGTGACTCAACTGCCTTCAGGCTTGTTAGTTTGTCAATTTTATTTTATTGATTCACAGGATGTAGGCGTCATTGGCCAGGCCAGGCTTTGAGGAATCAGGTAGTGAGTTACTCACTCCAGAATTCCTTGCCTCTGACCGGCGATTGGAACCACTGTGTGGTTCAGTTGCTGGACAATGATAACCCCAGGACTTTGATAGTGGGAGATTCAATGATGATAACACCTTTGAAATTTCAAGAGGCAATAGTTAGTTTCTCTCTGTCCCTGGTGCCTGCGTGGCAAAAATGTTACCTACCGGCCCAAGCCTGGATATCATTCAGGTCTTGCTGCTTTTGGACATGAACTCAGCATCTGAGGACTTGTGAACGGTGCTGAACAATGTGCAATCATCAGTGAAGATTCCTACTTGTGATGTTATGATGGAGGGAAGGTCATTGATAAAGCAGCTGAAGATGGCTGGGTCTAGGACACTACTCTGAGGAACTCCTGCAGTGATATCCTGGAGAAGAGATGACTGACCTCTAACAACCACAACTACCTTTCCTTTGTACCAGGTATGGCTCCAATCAGCAAAGAAATTTTGCCCCAGTTCCCATTGACTCTAGCTTTGCTAGGACTTCTTGAAATTACACTCGGTTAAATGCAGCCTTGACGTCAAGGGCTGTCACTCTCACCTCACCTCTGGAATTCAGCTCTTTTGTCCATGTTTGAAGCAAGGCTGTAATGAGGTCGAGAGCTAGGTGGCTCTGGGGGGATCCCAAACTGACAGTCAGTAAGCAGGTTATTGCTGAGCAGGTGCTGCTGGTTAGCACTGTTGGTGACACCTTCCATCACTTTACGAATGATTGAGAGGAAACTGATGGGGTGTTAATTGGCTGGGTTGGATTTGTCCTGTATTTTGAGTACAAGACAATTTTCTACATTGTTGGCTAGATGCAGGTGTTACAGCTCTTTTGGAATAGCTCGGCTAGGGGTCTGGCAATTCTGAAGATTGTTGTGAATGCTTCAGCTTTATCTTCTGCTCCCCCCTCATTGAGGATGGGGATATCACAGCCTCCTCCCCCAGTGAGTTGTTCAATTGTATATCCAACCTTGAAATGACAACGGCAGACACAGTACTTTCTGAAAAATCTGCATTAAGTGCCAAAATTGGGAGGATTGACACTGTCTGTTAGGCTTGATTCCGAGAGTATGACAATGTCCCAGATACCACTGTCATCATTCTGACTGGCATAGAAATTATGATGGTGATGGCTGGGACATTATCTGAAATGCTTGACTAGTGAACCAGGTGGACTTTTACAATAATTAACAATGGTATCATGGTCATCAGCATTAATTCAGCTTTTTTTAAAATTCAAATTTCATCATCTGCTGTATACCCAGCGCACTATTTGAATTTTTGGTCTAGTGACAAACTCTCCACCACTACCTCTTGCTCTCCTTTTAAAATTGTAAAGTGGAAACATGAAAAACAGAGAAACATCATAATCCTATATTTTATTTTCAGAAAGCAGCTCATTAAATTTGAATTTGAATGAATCAAACTAGATCCATCAGCTCTCCAGAAGGCATGTTTCACAGATTGATCTTCTGTTCATTAAATATTAGATCTGCAGGTTAGATTCAGGTTTTGGGCCTCAACTTCTGAAAATTACACTTTGTTTCTCTCAGGCTATGTACAGTTTATAGCCTTTAGAAAGAAGGACTTGAAAAACCTATTTCTATTGCGGGTTTCAAAAGCTCCAGACATCTCAAAGTGTTTTAAAACCAATGAAATACTTGTCCCGCACAGGGTCTCATCAACTGACAGAACAGGGATCTTTTTTCAATGTCTCATCTGAAAAGCACTCTCTCAGTCTCACACAGGGAGTGCTAGAATTAATTTATGTTCTCAAGTCTCTGAAGTGGGACTTGAACTCACAACCTTGTGTTTCAGTGCTGAGTGCGCCATCTACTGTGCCCCTTGTTGACACAGTAAAATATGGTTCCTATGAGGATGGAATAATATTTAGTTTTGATTATTCTTTGAGAATTGAGCCCTGTTATGCATCCTCACATCCTGCTTCTTGTAAGGGCTCCATTCCATTCTCCCACTTTCTCAGTCTGTTACATCTGTTCTGATGATGCCACCTTCTGCAGCAGAGCCTCAGACACCTCTACCCTTTTCCTCAAACAAGGATTCACTGCTACAGTCATTGCCAGAGCCCTAAGCTGTGTTCAACCCATCTCCTGCATTCCAGCCCTCACTCCCTCTCTTCCCTCCCACAACAATGATACCATTCTCACCTACCATCCCACCAGCATCCACAACCATAGGATCATTTGCCATCAATTCTGCCACCTCCAATGGGATGCCACCACCAGATACACATTCCCCACCTTCTATAGGGACTGTTCGCTCCAGAACAGCCTGGTTCACTCCTCCTCCACCCCCAACAGCACCTTCCATTGCAATCACAGAAAGTGTAACACCTGCCCATTTTCCTCCTCTCTCCTCACTATCCAAGGATCCAGACACACCTTCCAGATGAAGCAGCGATTTACCTGCACCTTAATCTAATCTGTTCACGGTTCACAACGTCTCCTCTACACTGGGGAGATGGAACACAGACTGGGGATCCACTTTGCTGAACATCTGCATTGTGTCTGTAAAAATGATCTTGAGCCTCCAGTTTCCTGTCACTTCAACATATCACTGTATTCCCTGGCCAACATTTCCGTCTCAGGTCTGCTGCAGTGCTCCTGCCAAGCTCAATGCAAGCTGGAAGAACAACATATCTTTTGAGGAAGGGTCACCGGACCCGAAACGTTAACTCTGATTTTTTTCTTCACAGATGCTGCTGAGCTTTTCCAGCAACTCCTGTTTTTGTTCCTGATTTACAGCATCCGCAGTTCTTTCGGTTTTTATCTCATCTTCCACTTAAGTACCTTATAGCCTTCAGGCTTAAACATCAAGTTTAATAATTTCAGAACGTGAACACCTTCCCTTTTCTATTTTCCCAACCCCACAACCCAAGTCCTGTCATGAAATGGGTTGTATTAAGCACAGCCAACCCAGTTCCAACTACTCTCAGTCGCCACTCTCTTCTTTCCTGGCTTTTTAAATCCGTTTT